ATAAATATCCCCTTTACTCGCTTTAACTCTAAGTAGGCCTACTATAGCCTAAAATATTTTATAAAAAGAAACCGCATAGGCCGTTATTACTATAAAAAGGACGACGGTAATAGCATCTAGCCCTAATAATACAGAGTAAAATAGCCTAAACTTAAAACTAGTAAGTAATAGTATAATCGATACTAAAACTAAGCCGAGCCTAGCAAATAAAACGGTCTCTAAGTTAGGGTATTTCTCTACTAGCTTCTATAACTATTTAATCTCCTCGGATAAAAAGATAAACGCGGCTAGGTCTTATATTAAATAAAAAGCGTAGCTTAGAATTACTACGTATTTTAAAGCTACGCACGCGTATTTAGTACTTATTAATATACTAAATAATAAACTTATAATAACTAAGGATTTACTTAATACGACCGCAGTAATAACTATACTAGCTACAGTACTTTATACCGCTATAATAATAGACCTAACTAAGTTAAGAACCTAAATAAAGCGTTTTACTTATTTATATAGCTTCGCTACTATTAATCTCGTATTGTCAGTATAATAAGTTACGTACTAAAATTAGGACTATTCCCTTCTTCTTATTTACTTTATCCTATAGAGCTCTAATAGTTACTATAAGTATAATTAGTATTAAGACAATATATATAACTATAATAATCTTAGAAATTATAGTACTAGAAGAAAGGATATAAGAACGAGGATAATAAGTATCCGAGGCCGAATCGCAGGTCTAAGAGATAACGGACATATATATATATACTATACGAACTTACCAAAACTATATTAATTCACTCTATAACCGAGGCCTAGAGTAGTCTATAAATCTTCGTATATATTCATATATAAGGAATATTTACTATATATACTTATAGATTTCTAAGGACGTGCTAATATTTAGAAGTCTTACTAAGTAACTTTTGTTAAATACTATAAAAAATACTAATAAGCTCTCGATATGTACTAATATATAAACTGGGATGTTATTAAAGTCGTTTCTTACTTTTTTATTCGGGTAGCGAGGTAGAGCCGGTTTAGATAGCTATTATATTACTATACGTAGCTAGAAAACGAACGGATAGATAAAAGATCCGGAATTTATAGCTTGTTGTATACTAGACCCGTATTATATAGACTATATATAATTTAATTAAGTTATATAGGACGTTTATAGCCGAATATATAAAACGTTAATTATGCTAGATTTTATAAACGCCTTACTCTTTATTTCTTTTACTACTACTACTTGCGCGTTTTATAAATAATATATAGCGCGCATTAATAAGTTCCCTACTTTAATATTAATATAACTAGTTGGGGACTAAGGCTCATATAAGTAGCAAACTCCGGCTCTAATAATACTTAATATACCTTAAAGTAATAATCATTAATTATTAATCTTTTATATAGGAGTTCTACGTAAACTAAAGTAGTACATAGCTCTTTAATAACGTTTAAATATCCTAATAGGGGGTCGCAATTATTTTAGAGCCGTTTATAAACTCTTCTTAGCTATACTTATTATTTTATTCTACTTCCTCGCCCTACTTAGAAACCCTTTAATAGCGTATAAAGAAATATAAATCGACCCGGCCCCTAGTCGTAGTATAAATTATAAATATCGTATTAAATTTAAAAGTCCGATTAGTAACGCCTTATCTTACTGAGCTCGCGCTTATTAATATTAATCTTTAGATATAGGGCGACTTTCTAATTACTACTAAGGCGGGCTATCTCTTTATAAAATAGTAAACTAATATAATAGTAGTAGAACTCGCTCTTAGAGCCGCTCTTAATAGTTAACTATATTATTATTAGTTTAGTATTTCTTAATAAGCGAGAGCTTTAATAAAAAGCTACGGCCTCGCTAAGTATATTAAGAATAGTTCTATATTCTTTTAGTATAGGGGGCGGTATAAGAAGTAATATTAAGTATAAAGTTTAATAAATCCTCGTATTAAAAATAAAACTACTACGTAGTTTAGTTACTTTAAGAGAGGGGCTAACTATATATAAAAATAATAATAAACCGTGCGGATCTTTAAGTAATATATAAGTAGTCTCGCTCGAGCCTTATTTTACTAAAAGGGGCCCTTCTTTAACGAGCGAAAATAGCTGAGGTAGTAAAGGAAAGGTACCGAATATAAATAGACCGATATTACTCCCTATATTAATTATAAAAGTTAAGCTAACTAATAACGGCGAAGTTTCTTTACGTATAAACGCTTCGTTAAAAAAGGTAGAGTATTCTAATTATACTTACTAAAGCCGCTTAGAAATATTAGAGTTCTTAATATCTAAATTTTAAGCTAAAAGCTCTATATATATTCGTACTTATAAATTTTATAAAAAAGTAGCGTCGGTATATAGTATAAGCATACCCCTACTAACTAGTATTTATAAGCTTAGTAATATTAATACTCTAATATTTTTATTTAGCGTTGTAATAAGTAGTTTAGAAAAATAGACCGTATAACTAAGAAATAAGGCTTAGGCTTATTATTCTAATTTCGAGCTACTTTTAACTTATGCTCTATATAGCTATACGTAATTTACGTAAATAATAGCTACGAACTACGCCCTATTGTAATTATATAGGATAAGTATAGTAATATTAAAAGTCCTGTAAAGCCTCGTAACTATTTTTATATTGCTAAATATAAAGATTATTAAATTACTAAAATAAAAAAACGGATAAGCTAGCTATAATAAGCGAAGATACTCCGTAATTATATTGACGTCTACTTACTCGCTTTTAGTAAAAAGTCGTAACGATAACGATACTCTTTATTTTGGGGTATTAATATAATTAGTTACGATTTTTATTAAGTAAATCTATTTACTTATAATATATAATAGTACTTCGGTTTGCTTAAAGGCTTCTTACGGTAGGTATTTTAAAATTACTTCCCCTATGTTTTAAAAAGAAGCGAGCGGGTAACGCTTCTAAATAACCCGCAAAGCGTATTATAATATTTTTAATATTATGGAGGTTAAAAGGTATATAGTAAGATAATAAAAAATCTTATAATTGTTTATATTAATAATATATAGCGTAACGAAGCTTCGGTTAGCTATCTAGACTTTATATTAGGCCTTATATATTTCCGTAGTTTAACTTATTTTTATATTTTGCTATTAAAAACTTGCGCTAGAAGTATTTTTAAAGTCGCTAAATATTACCGTTTATATAACTAGGAGTTACTTTTTTTATCTATTTATAACGTAATTCGGCTTCTATTTAGCTCCTTATAATAGTTATAAGCTATTTATTATAAATAGGCTTAATATTTAAATATTAGAAGCGCCTCTGCTACTGCTTATCGGTCTCCGTTTCTAAATAGGGACTTTAATACTACTTCTTATTATATAAGGGTAGAGGCCCTTTAGATCTAACTTAAAATTCGCGTTTTAATAATTTCTCATTATTCTTTACCCGTACTTCTTATATAATCTTCTATTTTTATTTTTTAATATACTTCTATACGTTTATTATTCGCAGAGCGTTTATTTTAGAGAGGTAGGAAATAATGCCCTTAGCTAAAACCTAGCCTAATAAAAGCCCTTACGATATTATCTTGCTATTATAGTAACGGCCGCTTTATTATTACTTATAGTTGCCCTTAATGCCTATATTATTATGACTTTTTTATAAGTTCGATATCCCCCTAAACGGATTTCTATTTTTTATATACTTATAGTTATAAGCTATTATTATAAACCTCGAGCTTAGTACGTATAACGGTTTCTAAATAAGTATAGCGTACTTCTTAATTAATACCGTATTAATATTATTTATTACGGATCTAAGCTACGTGCTCGGTTAATAGCTATACCTAACTATCTCAGTTACTTTCTTTATTCTAAGCATAGTTTTATACTACGTATCGCGTTTTATTAGCTTAATATTAGTAGGACGGTTTTTCTAAAGTATCGGTAGTGCTAGTATTATCGTTTTATACTTATTAATTTTTATTAACTTCGTCCCTTTATTAGTTTGGCTTACGTAGTACGGCGTAGTATAAAAATACTCCCTTTTAGGCTCGTTTTTTTTTTTACTAACCGCGCCGTTTATTTTTAATTAAATAGTATAGGTATTAGGTAACTATACTAGTCCTATACTAAGTAGCGTTATTACTTAGTATATAACTTAGTATTAGATTTTTTATATTATATTTTTATTTTGCGCAGCTAAACTTATTTTCGTACCCTAGCTCGTTAATATTACGTCTCTAGCTAATAAAATATATAAAAAACTTAAGGATATAAACTAGTTAGGGAACGCTATATTTATTAGCTCGGCTACTTTATTATTAGTAACCGTTTTTTAAAGTAGTTTGTATTATAGTTAGGGTAGCGCCGGTATTCTTATACTATTACTACTCGGGGTAGTTAGTATAGCGCTAATTATTATTTATAAGTTATACTTCGTAATATCCCCGTTTTTATAATGCCGACTTTTTTAAACCGCTAGCTCTATTGCGATATATATTTATAGCGCTATTTAAAGCCTCGTAGTAAGAGCGATATAATACTAAGTACGTAATATAATACGCTAATAATAATTATAGATATATGGGTAGCTATATTACGTACTTTTATACTTTATAGATATTAAGGGGTTTACTCCGGTTTAAATTAGTATCGTACTCTTCTTTATTATATTTACGCTAGTGCCGGTATTTATTATTACTAGTTGACTTATTATAGTATTTAATAACTATTAGTAGCCGATCTGGGCGGGCTAGACTTTAGCTACTGTTATTTCTAGGCTAATAATACTATAAGACGTCGAGATGCTAATAAAAGTATAGGTACCGACGCTCGTCCTTTTTAGTCTTAGCTATAGTTTTATTTTAAATATACAGAATATAGTATTATACGCTCTTTATAATAAAAATAATAAAGTAATTATTGTAGTAATATACGCCTTTTTTTAATAGTTTAGTATAATAATTAGAGTAGGTATTAGCAGATCTATTTTTTAGAACGTAATATTATATAAGCTAGAGGATAATAGCTTAGCCCCCGTAAGTACGTACGCGGGTACTTATATTATTTTTACCCTATTTATTATAACTAACGATACTAAGCTACGATTTAAAATTATAAATACGTACGTATATAGCCTACGAGGTATTTACGGACTATATATTAGTATATTTAAGTTAGCGCTCTTAATAAGCTTCTTAATTTAGAGGGTATTACTAAATAGGAGCCTACGATCTAAGTATACGATATATACGTAAGTAATAGGTTATAGTAGTATTTATAATAGCTTTTATAGCTCTAGGAGTTAAGCGTACTTAGGGAGGAGTATTATAACCTACGCTTACTTTACTAATACTTAATAATACGGTAGTATAGGTAATATTAAAGTCGTAGGATATAATATATTTTAAAATACTACTTAATTTTAAAACCGGCCGTAAGCTATTTTTTTTTTAAAAATTAATACGCGAACTCAAAAAAAGGCGCGTATAAATAATCCGTAATAGAACTTTACTTAGTACTATTTTAAATAATAAGAGCCTAACTTCTATAAAGCTACGGAAGTATAATTTTTTAATATATATATTAACCCTTAGTTAAGAGAGAGAGATTATATAAGCGGAGTATTTATAAAAGTAGATTGTTAAGTAGGACTTACGCGGTATTTATATAGTATAAAGAGGTAGAATATGGGTAGTAGCCCGGATTAGACTATATAAGTTTAGCCTCTTATACGTTCTTTTTATAAATATAGTTTTAAAATTTATTATAAAGTATTCGCTTATAGTCGAGTTTTAAAAAGGAGCGATTCTTATTAGCATATCCCTAGTTTATTATAGGGTTTGCGCTCTTATACGAAGGAATAAGTTAGCGTATTAGATATACTTAACTAATAGTATAGTAAAATCTAGATATCGGTTATAGCGCGCTTAGTTTATTAAAACTTGTAGTATAGCTTAGCGTATTTATTTCTAGATTTAGGGCACTACGTATTTACTACTTAGCGTAAAATAATACCGCAACGTATATTACGAATAAAAAGTTAACTATAAGATGTTTAAATAAATAAAGTAGGGAGGGGATTTACTAGCTATCGCATGCTATTATACGAGGCTAGGTTAAAGGACTTATAGGGTAATAAACTTCGTAGTAATTGAATATAAGTTTAAAAGCTAAGGAATTGAAAGGCAGTAAGAAAAGTAGTCTTTTATTAGTATTAGCTTCGCAAACTAACTTAACTTTTATTTCTAAACGCTAACGTATTATGGAAAATAAAAGCTTTACGAACCTTCGGTACTATTTTATAAAAGTAACTTTACTAAGATCCCGCGTTATATTGTAGTTTTATAACTATATTATTTTATTAAGTTAAGCGTATACTTAGCGTACATTGCGCATACTATAGACTTAAAAAGTATACCGTATTATATAATTTTTTTTAAAAGCCTAATTTTAATAAGGTCGATTTTTTATGCTTAGAAATATAAAGCCTAAAAGGATAATAAAGAAAGTTTTAAAAATAGATTAACTTTATGAGAACCTTCCTGGGACGACGTATATTTTTAGCGTAATATATATAATTTTAAAGGACCGGGTGGCCTATATAAGTAGCTTTAAGCGTCTAATACGGCCGGTTTATAACTTAATTTATATATATTACGATCTGAGCCTTTTTCTAGTAAAATATACGTAATGGGATATATAAGTATTTTATAAAATATTTATAATCTCTATACTATACCGAACCGGGACCTTTTTCGTTATATTATTAAAGTAAGGTCGATCTCTAAGGTATTCGTTCGGAACGTAAATCGGTTTTTACCCTCTATTATATTATTTCGAATTGAGAGACCGATTACTAAATATTAGTATTAATATAGAAAGTTTTTATAATTGTAATTACTAAATTAAAGTAATACTTAGCTATATTTTAAACGTATAAGTAGCGATTAATATAATTAATTAGATATATGACGTAAGAGTAATATATCGCTATATTAATAAAGAGATAAACGATAAGAAATTATATATTAGTAACCGTTTAGTATTATAACTGCGAATTATTCGTACTTATAGGATAAATACTTTGGTAAGGTTAAGGTAAGAATTAATATTCGTAACGGCTATACCGCAATATTTAGCTTAAATAAGTATTTCTAATTTACCCTCTCGAGCGCTTTATTAAACTCGTTAAATGTCTGCGCATATTTATTACTGCTTATTAATAATTATGGATTAGTCTATGCTCTACTAAGGCCCGTAACGAGGGTACTATTATTAAGATAAGAGTAACCGATCTAAATATACTAATAACGTTCCGCTACTACCCTAGTTTACTATACCTAAGCTAGACTAGCTAACTTACCCTTAGCTAAGCATAAGCCCTTTATAAAGTTATTAACTATAGAATAGAGTACTATTATTATTATCGATTATTAGATCTAAAATATATTAGTCGCTTATAATAGTACGTTAGGGCATACGTCTTATTAAGGTCTATCCCGTAATTAATATAATGCTCGTTACTATTATCGTTTTGTATATTATATTTATAATTAGCTTACGACTTCGTTATGTTATTTAACGAGTAGGGACCGGTAGATAGGAAGAAGGATCTATTTATAATTATTAGTATTTTATAAAAATAACTCTAATATAGACCTACTCGTCTTGCGCTATTAAAGAACTGTCGTAATTTATTATATAATAGTTTAAGTTAAGGACCGACTAGTTCTAATCGCCCGTTATAGTCTTATAAAACGTAACTATTTTATATTTTTTATTTATTAGCGTACCCTAATTAATATAAGAATTTAAAAAGCCGCGCGGTTAAAAAAAAGTTTACTTTTTTATAAGTTAGTATATATACTACTCCCCTAAAACGTAACGTAAGATACTAGATATAAAAGCTAAGTAGCTTAGGACCCGGACAACTTAAAATACTATAGCGGATATTTAATAATATAAGTCGCTAGAGGGTACTAGCTTCGGATTTATAATATATTTATATTTACGGAATATAAGATATTTCTTTTAGCCCTAAGTATAGTTATAACTTACTTTTTTTTAGGGTTATGTGATTTTAACTATTTTAGGATTTTCTTAGCTACTTTAAACTTCTCTTATTATATACGATTGAGATCCTAGAGGCGCAAGCTAGAAGTATAAATAAGCGTATGTTATTACGAAGTTTATTTCGGCTTTAGTAGTAATAAAAACTAACTAACGCTAATTTAATTTATTAATTAAATTGAGCCGTATATAGGTAGATATATAAGTATAAAAGACGACTACGTCTATGGGAGTTATCCTCTTAGCTATTATTAGAAAGTATCCTCTTTATAGTATATACGTAATAATGCCGGTCGAGCTTAGAATTATTAGAGGACTAGTAGGTACCTTATTTCTCTTACTTATATTACTATGTAGTATTTATAATATTAAACGAGATTAAAAACGAAGTTATATTATAGGCTATGCTATGAGTTACGAGGTACTTCGCCCGATACTAAGGATTTTTAATATTTCTTAAATATTATAATTTCTGGGACTGTAAATATTTAGACTCCTCTTATAACCGAGATATAGGATACTAGTAGTTTTTAAAACTGTTTTTAGGATATAATGTATATACTATATATTTCGACGCGCGTATAGTATATATAGTTTTTATTATAGTAGGCGAATAAAAATAACGAATAATTTATTTAAGTACCTGCTGTTATGCATTTAGTATTAAGCTTAGTTTTCTTAAAGTTATATATAAATCTTAAGCTCTCTTATAATTGTTAAATATAGCTCGTATTATACTATATATTACCTCTAACTTAGGGTAAGGAGAGAGACGCTACTATTAAAAGCTATATATAGACGCTTTTAAATACGCCCCAGAGCTTACTTCTCTACGTACTATCGTATATCGTATTTACTCTATATATTATTTATAATATACCTCGAGAACGGGTCGCTATAGCAATCTCTAGTAAGTTTTATTTTTTTTAACGAGAAGAAGATCCGCTTTTAAAAAATAACGTATAGTATAAGCGTAACCGTAAGCTTTAGTATTTATATAATACCTTAGGGATTAGAGCTAAATCGTACGCCTCTAATAATAATAAAAGTTAGCTAATTTAACTTAATTTTTATAAAACAAGGAGAGATTGTTATTATAATAACTTATTAGCTAGTAGCCGAATAGTTAATCTATTTATCACTAGCGGTTATTATAGCTATTAGAGTTGCGGGTATATTCTATTTCTAATTTAATAAATAGAGCCTAATAACTCTCTATATCGTAGCGTTAATCAGGTAGCTACTTTTCTTATAATAAGAATCTATACTAAAAGTTATAAAGAGGTATTTAAAATAGTAAATAAATCGGTTTTTTTAGTTTTAACTAGGTTACGAAAAATAAATTATAAATACTTAGCGTCCTTAGTTACTAACATATAAAAAAGGGTCGTTCCGAACTTAATTAGAGGCGGGTCCCATACGACGTTTAAGTATTTACGCCGTTATAATACATATAACTACCGTCCTCAGAATAGTCCTCGGAATAAAATACGTACTCTTTATACAATACTTTTTATTAAGGAAATAAAATCTTTTATTATTAATAAATATAAAGTTCCCTACCTTTTTATAGATAAATAGATTTAGAGTATTAAAGTAGACTAATATACTATAGCTACTATAATTATATAACGATTATAGGGCGTATACTTCTTAATCCTACTCATATACATTACCCTTAGTATAACTACTATAACCGTACTATTAAAAGCCCCTCTAACAAATATATTAATAACGGCTATATTTATAAGCTTTTTTCTCTCTATATCTACGATTATAATACCCTTTATTATAATTATTATAGTTATACTCTCGTTCGTATCTAGTAGTACTAGCAATTCCCCTAGCTCTAGTCTAGTTATTATATAAATCCTAGTTTTTCTTTTAAATTATGCGTTCGTTTAACTAATTATCAGAGCGGCTTTATTTTTTATAGAAATATAAGCGTAGTAGTTTACTACTATTATCTACCTATAGGCTAGGTTATTATTCCTAATAACCGTAGGTATAGCTAAATAGATTATTATAGAAACTAGATCGTTTAATATTTTTAAGTATATTTTAATTAAGCGTATTAATATAGAGTAAAGGGTCCTAAATTAAGTAGCTAAAGAGGCTATTTATTATTTATTAG